GAATGGGACCAATGGTTCTTGGGGGATATGGGAGAAGGGGAAGTGGGAGAAAGGAAGGTGGAGGAAACCAACCCAGGGACCAGGAAACAAGTAAACTAAAATCAATGGAGATAAAGGCTTAGGATGCCTAGTGGGCTTAATCAAGGACAATGTAGCAGCAAGGAATTACCAATCTAATTGAAGCCAGAACATGATTATGGGACAAGAGGAAAGGAAAAGGAAATAAAGGAAAGAACCAGGAAGCAAAGGACATTTATAGAGGTCTAAATACAGGCATGCGCATATGTAAAAATATATATAATAAGAGGGGAATAGAACTATGTACTCATAGCCATATGTTAAGAATTAAGGTTGCAGATGGACATTGGGCCTCCACTCGAGTACTCCCTCAACACAAGAACACTTTGTTCTAACAATCCAGCATTTTTTGATGCTCACCTTCCGGACATGATCACTGAAGACAAGATGGGTGCATAAACAAGCATGATGGAGAAAGCTGATGGTGCCTGGCTATCAAAAGATATAGCATCTGGAATCTTAAAGGCTTGAAGATAAACAGGGAGCCATCTAGCTGAGAAGCAAAAAAGCCCACATGGAAGAAGCACACCAGTCTGTGTGATCATGAGGTGTCGATGGGATCAGGTATCAGGCATCTAAGACCCAGACCAGAATCATGCCCAATGTGAAAGGGGGAGTGGGCATGGAGTAGAAACCCAATGCCCATCTGTAGACAATTGGACATCCCCTCACAGAGGGGTCACAGGGAAGAGACGATGAAACACACAACTTTCCTCTAGTTCTTTGGTGCTTCCTTCCCCCAACTATCATGACCTCAATTCTACCTTACAAATCAGATTAGACCAGAACATGCACACTGCTACAGATAAGAGCCCGCAGCACAGGGAACCCAGGATAGATAAACCCCGTAGGACCAACAATGAAAGTTGAGATAGCAGGAGGATTAAGGGAGGGTGGAGGGAGAAAGGAGGAATTGATCACAAGGATCAATCTGTAACCCCCCTCCCAGGGAGAAGAACAATTGGAAAAGTGGGTGAGAGGCGATGGAGGACGATGTAAGATATGAAAATAACAATCTATAACTTATCAAGGGTTCGTGAGGGAGGGATGGCAGAGGGAGGGGAAAGAAATGGGGAGCTGATATCAGGGGCTCAAGTGAGAAAAGAATGCTTTGAAAATAATGATGGCAGCATATGTACAAATGTACTTGACACACTGGATGAATGTATGGATTGTGATAAAGGATGTTAAGAGCCCCTAATAAAGTATTGAAAAAAATGCATGGGAGGGAACTTAAAATAATTGTTTGGGTTGAAAAAACATTTGAAATTTCCCATTTAAATTAACACTTCAATGATGTAATTATAACAATTATTATATAAATTAATTACTCAAATTCATGGCCAGAGTAACATTAGCTTTGTTTAGTGTTGCAATTGGTATCTCTATCAAGATGCCAAAACAGGATTGAACATTACTTATCAAAGGAATAAAAAAAATGACTTTTGCTGTTTTTCTTATTTCCCAAGTAAGATATTTCAAAATGTGCACCATACCATGAAATTTCATTAGAATTGAGTGTGTCCATATTCTGTAACAAAGGTTCATAACAACAAGGAGCTAGAAAATTGTGGAAAATCTCATACACAACCTAAATCTTTGTAAGCAACATCAAAGATTCTCACATAGTTCTTCAAATACAAATAATATATGCAGGTCATTCATAGGAATTTTGATTCCATTCATAAATATGAAATGAAAAATCACAAAATTTCTGTGCATTTCAACATAAAATTCTCTAGAAAAGTTATGTTTGTAGCTTGCAAGAGTAGTACAGCAGATCTCAGGTTCACTTCTGACTCCAGTAATAAAGGAATCCATCTATAAGGGAAAGTAGATTGCACCCAAGTAAGAATGTGCAGTCTGCCCTCTGTATTCAAGAATTCTGCCCCGTGCATTCAATTTGTCAACTCAAGGTCAACATTTTCTGTTTCAATCCAGTCCCTTAAACACAAGTTTATGCATCCACTTAATATTACTGTTCTTCTAACAGCTTCCAAAATAATCTTTCTTCTCTTCAAGTATTCTGTTACACTGATTCATCTACAGAAGCAAAACCAGTTATCATCTATCTATCTGTCTATCTATCTATCTATCTATCTATCTATCTATCTATCTATCATCTATCTATCTATCTATCTAATCTATCTTGATGCCAAAGGCACTACCAGTGAGTTGATTCCAACTCATATTGACCCGGTAAGACTGAATAGATCTGCCCTAATGTATTGCCAAGCCCTTTAAATCTTTGCTAGAGCAAACAGTCTCATCTCTCCCACTGAATGACCAGTGGCTTTGAGCCACTGATCTTGAGGTCAGCAGCTCTGTGGGAGAAAGATGAAGCTGTTGACCAAGGTCTCACAAAGAACAAAAAGGGCTTGTTTGTCCATTAACCACATCCATTCATAATAAAAACTAGTCAGGGTGATTCCTGTAAATAATAATGTGAATATTTACATGACTAAGCACAAAAAATGTTTCCTGTTCCAATTAGAGTCCACATGAGTCTATGGAACACTCTGTCTATTCCTTGCAGACTTTCAGGGACCCAGGCTTCTTTCATCCCTGGAGGTATTAGAGTTCTCCCCTGCATGCATCCATCTCACCAGTAGTGAATGAACAGACATAGTATGAGGCATACATAAAATATTTGATGAGACATTTCTGGAAGAGATGAACAGCACACCCACCTCTATTCTGTCGGCCATAAGTAATTCAATTGTAACACTAGAAGGCTGTTGAACTGGAGAATATAGTCTAGGAGTGTGGCATAAAAGTAACAATTTTGTTGAGCTCTCATAATCTAAATATTATAGATCTACTCCCATAATTTTAGTTGTTTGTTAACTTATTTGTTCTTTGCTTCAACTGTAAGCAACACAAGGACAAGAAAGCACCATCATATATTTGGTATTTCCAGTGATGATGGTTTCACCAGCATTGAGGGAGACCCTAATTCACGGAAAACCCATGCACAGCAGAATATAACACTTCCCTGTCTTGTATCAACCCCAAGATCTGCATTTTGTGACCTATACATAACAATTTAGTCAGGGTATTTTCAGACATAGATTGCCCAGACTTTTTTTTCTTCAAATTCATTTAGTCTGGAAGCTTGTTGAAACAGTTCCGTACCATGCAGCACACAATCCTCTCTCACAGAGGGGCAGTGGCTGTGCATAAGGTGCCTTGGCCAGGAAATGAACCTAAGCCTTCTGCCCACTTTCCAGCACTAAATCTAAATCTGAACGTAGCTGGTGATTTTCTCATCTTGGGTGGTGATTAGAACTTAGTGGGATCTTCCTCATACAAGATCAAAAGGATCAATGCCACCATGGCCTCCCTACCCACCATGAACAAATCCTCAACCCACTCAAGTTCTTTCTTACTCAAGTTATTTCTTACCACCTGGACTCTCACTCCCAAGTGATTGTGTCTATTTTCTATTCTGATCCAATTCCATCATTTCCTGATTCCCAGTATACCACTACCCTTGTCACTACCTTCTGTTGGAACACAGTTTAATTTCAGCAAATTCTCCTCTATTTTCAATACGTCAGGCAAGATGCTCCTATCATCTCCTTGTCCAAAGTGACAGCTGGTTACTGTGCATGAACTCTGACTTTCCCACAGCATCATTACGTAAGGGATATTTCTAGTTTGCTCTTATTTTCTGTTTATCATGGATCCTAAACGTTTTGCTGATGCTTTCCTTGCTCCCCATTGCCATTGTCAGAACCTTTGTCCTTCATTTTCATAAAATACCTCAGTTCCTTTAAAGTATTGATTAATTTCCTTGCTTCAATCAGCTATGGCCTGCAATGGAACTTTACCTTCTGTTTGTTGCCAAGGGAAACAAAAGGCTGTTTGTACTCCATAGAAGGATAGGGGCAACATCACTCTGTAGAAGTGAGTATATCCATCGTATCAATGAAGACATCGTTGAACTTGTTCAATTTGGTATTCACACAGGGCAGAAAGTCATTATTTCTAGGATTTTGATTAAGTAGAAAAGCATATAAGTGAATGAAAGTGATGAGGAACAAGGTCAGGAAAAGAGAAAGCCTGAGAGATGGAAACACTCACCGAGAGCATGGAAGTGGTATTAGGCACTCTTAGCAGTGTTAACTTGATGGTGAAGGGAGGGAGAAAAGTGAACATCGCTGGACTTGATAGGTTTGGGAACTGCCTCAAGACTAGCAGATGGGCCATTAATAAAGAAGCAGCCACCCAGGGAAGCTGCCGTCCAGTTAAAGCTCCTTAATATTAAATCTGGGGGTTCCTGGGTAGTGCCAAAAGGCATGCACCAGACTACGATGGAAAGAGTGCTGATTTGAACCTACTCAAAGAATCTTGAAATATAAGCCTGGAGAACAGTGTCTGATAGGTTGCACACAGCCTTGAAATCCCCAAGGAGTAGTTGTGCACTGCAAAACAACATTTGGGGCCCTCAGTGACAGCAAAAGAAACGAAATACATTGAAACTCAAGTCAGAGCAATATGTAAATAAGTGTTCAGAAACACCAAAGGACCGGTTGGGTTCTTAATGTTTGCTCACGTACCCCCGCACAACTTGTTACATGTTAGGGACACCACATCCACAAAGTAGGTGCTCAGGCTTCCCGCCTCCAACAAGTTCCCTGGGACATGGTGCTGGGGCTTGCAGTCCTGACCCACCCACATGCCCATACCTGCCAATAGTGGATGCATCCAACATCCGGGTCCTAATCCCTCGTATGCACACACCCTTCATAGGGGTCCAAATTGCTGGGTTCTATACGGACCTGACATCTGGGTCTTAAACCAGGGCTGTTATAACGGTTCTGATCCCCACCATTTGAATCAGACCTTTTTCTGGCCGCATAGCCAGGACTCCTTCAAGCACAGACTGCCTCCTTCAGTGCTGTATCTCGGACTGTGCCATGGCATGCGCGTCTTCACCTCAGATGCACGAGGGCTACCAGGAGGAGTGCGAGGCTGCCATCAATCAGCAAGTCAACCTGGGGCTCCATGTCTCTTACACCTACCTCGCGATGGCTCATCACTTTGACCGCCAAGACATGGCCTTGAAGAACTTCGCGGACTACTTCATGCAGCAGTCCCACAAGCAGCGCCAGCACGTGGAGACGCTGATGCAGCTGCAGAACCAGCACAGAGGCCGCATCCAGTTCTGGGACATCACGAAGCCTGAAATGGACAACTGGGGCAGCTTGCTATCCGCCATGGGGCACCACCTCCCCCTGCAGCACAACATCAGCCTGAGCCTGCAGGACCTGCCCTGGATGGCCGCAAGCAGGGCGACATGCAGCTAGGTGACTTCCTGAACAGCAGGTTTCTGATCCCGCAGACCGCTGCTATCCAGCAGCTGGACGCCCACCTGGCCAACCTGCGCAAGTTGAGTGAGCAGACAAACCACCTGGCTGAGGACGTCCTCAACAACCGCAACCCCAAGGACAGCAACAAGGAGAGCTGCCCCACGGACACAAGGTGACTCATTCGTTCCAGGACCACTCAAGGCTGCTGCAGTCACAACAAGTTCACTTCCCTGCTGCGGTTTCACCAAGTTCACTTCTCTTTCTTTTCCCTTCCAAGTTTGCCATTCCTTTCAATAAAGAGATTTGTTCCCAGAGTTAAACAAATAAAGGTATCCTGCTCATTTTTGTGCGCGCTAAAGTTATGCACATCTAGATATCTGGGGGGTGAGGTGGAGAAAAGCTATTTCGGGAACACTTGCAATCACAAGATTAATCTTTGCCTCATAAAAAATAAGGGGTGGTGTGTGGGGTGGTGCTTGTGTAAGTGAACAATGCATTGGCTTCATGAAAGCATGTTGAAGGGAATGGGACTGGGCAGAAATGAAAATAAAAGGGGTCTTTAATTTATCTCGAACTGTTTTCACATATTAAAATATGCAAATGTTACCATTTGCTGAATCTGAGTATCAAGCTGTGGAGGCTTCAGAAGCAGACATAGCAGAATTCCTCTTTGATAACCTCACCCTGGATGTGCAGCAGGTTTGTATAAGCACAGAGTGCCGCAGTTCCAAAATGTTTCACTTCTTTTCTTTTCTCTTCTTTGATTGTCATTTTTCCAATTATGTGATTTAGCAGTAGAGTTTAAAAAGTTAGGTCTTTTGGTCATTCGTGTTTGTGCAACATACTCAAATGTTAAGATCAGGGCAAATTCCTGTGCAAATAAAATCTAGTCCTGCTGTGAGGGTCGAGCCTTGAAGTGGATGAGGAGTGTGCTCAGATAATTAGTCAACCACACAGAGGTAGGGATAGAGTGACTATTGAGGGTCTTTTCCTGGTCAATGGCTGTAACAGTGAAGATAGCTAGCAGCCAGGGAGTGGCCTGGCAGAAGGCCCTGGCAGGAGAGCAGGTGTGACAGCATAAAAGGGCTGCTAGGAAAGGAACAAGGAGAGCTGAGCAGGCTGCCACCCAGGCCAGGAGTAGGGCTCAGTGTCAGCAGAGAGTCCCAAGGAGTGGAGGTCAATTGCAGGGAAGGTCCTTCAAAGAGATGTCACACCACTTCTGACCTGTTTTCGATTTAGCCCTCGGTGACCCAGGCTGTGTGCTATGAACTTTGGAATCTGTCCTTTCAAGGAATATGCCATCCCTCATGGGGCACACCTGGAAGACTTTATGTGGACATCCCACTGGATACACTGAGGTTTACCTGAGACTTTCTTGTAGCCCTTGGACTTAAGACTGACACTCATTGGGGTGAGAAGAAACAGATGATTGCCAGCCTGGAGCAGTGTGGAACTGGTGGTCACTGGACGTTGGTTGGGATCCCTTGGTTTGTGAGTGTCCAATGAAAGGAGGCCCAGAACCACCATATATTTGCTATTTTGACATAAAATATCATTACTATGTAAAACAGCTTTATTTTACTTTCTTTACTATGACATGTATCAATATGTGGGTGTAAAGTGGTGTCTCCTCTTAGATTTAATTTGCATCTCCTGGGTAGATAGTGATCATGAGCATTTTTTTCATGTGCTGTTATACATTTGAGTGTCATTTTTGGTGAACTGTCTGTTCATGTCTTTTGTCCGCTTTTTAATTGGGTCATTTGTTATTCTCTTACTGTGGTATTGTAGAGTTCTGTAGATTTTGGTAAGTAGAACCTTGTCCATTGTGTCGTTGGTTAATATTTCTTTTTCCCAACCTGTGGGCTCTCGTTTTGCACTTTTGAGGAAATTTTTTTGATGTGTGTAAGTGAATTATTTTTAGTAGGTCCCAGTCATATATTTTGTCTTTTACTGCATGATCCTCCTTTTTCCTGCTTACTTGGTAGCTTATGTATGTCCTGCAAGAGGTGACACTAAGTTTGAACCAACTTTATGATTGATGATCCTGATACCTCTGGGCTTATAATTAGGTCTTTTATCCATCTTGAGTTCATTTTGTGCATAGGGAGGTAGGTGGGCTCTTTCCTTTTTTGCAAATGAAAATCCATTTTATCCACCACCATTTGTTGAAGAGGCTGTTTTTATCATGCTTTCTTTTTGGTCTTTTGTTGAAGTCACTTGCTTGTAGGTGGATGCATTTACTTCTGGGATTTCTCTTCTGCTCCACTGGTCTATGTAGCTATCATTGTACCAACCTCAGGCTGTTTGACTACTGTAGATATACTTTAGGTTTTTAGGTGAGGTAGCTTGAGGACTCCTACCTGGTCCTTCTTTTCAAGAAGTTCTTTGTTTATCCTTGGTCCTTTCCCTCTCCATATGAGTAGTAAAGTGTCCTATACTTGCTGTACTGCCCTAGTCAAACTGATACTTAATGTGACCAAGACAATATGGCTTCTAGTTCTCAAACTTAATGCTGGTAACAACCCCAAAAGAGTAACTAAAAAGCTTAAGACCAACATTAGAGCCACAATATAGAAGTGTGAATGCTTGGGTAGAATGGATTACACATAAAGTAATTCCTATGCTTGTGTATCTGGTAGACCACAGACATATGGAGGGGTTCCCTCATCCCTCAGTTGCGACTCAGATTCCGTAGGGTCACACTGCATGATGGCTCTGTACTAGGACAAAGATACTTGGGGAAACAGCACTTGTAAGAGCTTATCGTTGTTCTTCCCTGCACTGCACAGGTGAGAAGGAGAGTGGTCCCCTAGGTCTCCATAGGGCTAAGGAACCACTCGTCTTGCCTTTCAAGACAAGGAGAAGAGTTCACAATACCCATAGAAGAATTGACAACCTGAACCCACATCCTAAATGTCACCGGTAAACCTAGCAGTAGCAACTATTTAGTCCTCAGAGTACCCTGGGCGGATGTCTGGTGGTATTATGGAAAGGACAGAAAGCTGGCAATCCCCTTCACCGGATGTTCCAAAGAAAAACCAGAGCACAGTGAGAGATTCCGAATCCAGAGATTCCTCCCTGGGCCTTTTGAACCACATTGTTGGAGTCCACTCCATTGGAGTTTCCAGGGAAGCTCTCGGTGAGTTTACAGCTAGAAATGAGAAAGCAGCAAGGTTCAAGAGGACACTATTTTGGTGGTCAAACCTAAACAAAAATGTAGATTGGATTAAGTACATGTTGTATAACCGAGATAGGTTCATAAACTACACCGGAGATACACTACAAGGGGCAGCCAGCCAGTTAAATACCACTAGTCAGATGGGTTGGGAAAACAGGATGGCAATAGAAATGATGCTAGCTGAGAAGGGAGGTAGATGTCCCACCTTCATCTTCAACAGCACACCTCCTCATGGAACCATCACAAGAGCCCTGTGGGGATTAAACACTTTAGTGAATTGGCCCAGAATGCTAGGATTGATGGCCCTTACCTGGATAGAGGGGTGCCTTGGAAAGTGGAGAAACATAGCTGCTTCAATTCTCACTTCTCTCATATAGTGAGTGGAATTTTAACAGCAGTTAGATGTTGTAATCTACCCTGTGTTTGAGGACTACTTCAAAGGTTAACTGAGACGATTGTGAGTAAACAGATGTCAATGGCATGTCAACAAACCAACCTATTACTTTTAGAGACGTCCGTAGATGAACACTCTATGCGAAGGAAAGCCAACAGATATTAGATAAGTCTGAGAGACGGAAATGAAGATGAGACCAACCAATTTAAAGAAAAAGAAAAAAATGTAAGAAATATGTCAGCAGGCTGGTCCATCTACAGCAAACAGAGAGCAAAGAGACAGATAGTTACTAAATAACCAGGGCACTGATTGATAAGGACAATCTCTAGAGCACAGGCAGCTGTGGTATGCAATGTGGGAATTGGATGAATTAAGAAAGGTGGGGAGATGGGGGGAAAGGAGGGGTATGCCAACAAAGCTAGGGAGAAGGGAAGAATAAGTGATCTAAAATTAATGGTGAGGAGGGCATAAGATGCTGAATGGGGGATGGGGGGCTCAATCAAGGGCAATGTAGCCGAGAGGAATTATCAAAATTCGTGTGAAGGCCAAACATGATAGTGGGATGAGAGAAAAGTAAAAGAAAACAGAGGAAAGAACTGGGAGGCAAAGGACATTTATAGAGGTCTAAATACAGGTATGTATATGTATAAATACATTTATAGACAATGACAGGGGAATAGATCTATGTCATTATATTTATTTATAAAGTATTATGGTAGCAGATAGACATTGGGCCTCCACTCAAGTACACCCTCAATACAAGAACAATTTGTTCTACTAACATGTCACTCTGTGATGCTCACCTTCCCTGACACGATCGCTGAAGACAAAATGGATGCACAAGCAAACATGATGAAGAAAACTGATGTTGTCTGGCTATCAAAAGATATAGAATCTGGGATCTTAAAGGCTTGAAGATAAACAAGCGGCCATCTAACTGAGAAGCCTCACAGCCCACGTGGAAGAAGGTCACCAGCCTGTGTGATCATGAGGTGTCGATTGGATCAAGTATCAAGCATCAAAGACCCAAAACAAACCAAACAAGCAATCAAAAAGCTTATCAGTGGGAATGAGGGGGAGGGCAGAGTGGAGATGCAAAGCCCATCAGTAGTCAATTGGACACCCTATGTCACAAGGGCCACAAGGAAGAGAAGAGCCAGTCAGGGTGCAGTGTAGCACTGGTGAAACACACAACCTTCCTCTAGTTCTTCAATGCTTCCTTCCCTCCCGACTACCACGACCCCGATTCTATCTTACACATCTGGCTAGACCAGAACATGTTCCCTGGTTCAGATAAGAGCTCACAACACAGGGAATCCCGAAGAGATAAACACCTCAGGACCAATAAGGGGAGCAGGAATACTAGAGGGGTAGGAGTAGGGGGAAGGAAGGGAGAACAAATCACAATGATCAATGTATGGC